CCGACCAAAAAATTGGTCGCTAAAAGTCCATTTTGGTGCAGCAAAACATATTCCCGACCAATTTTTTTAGTCGCCAATTTGGTCGCAATTGAGGGTCGCGGAAAGTAATTAGTGACTAAAAAGATATTTTAATCGGCAAAACGTTCTATTTGGCGACTAAATTGTTGGTCGCTAAACATTAATTATCGCAACTAACCTATTTAGTCGCGAAAAGACTTTGGTCGGCAAAAATTACATTCAACGACCATACATGTTAGTCGCTAATTTGGTCGGCAAAAATTACTTTCAACGACCAACAAATTGGTCGGCAAAAATTACTTCAACGACAACAAAATTGGTCGGCAAAAATTACATTCCACGACCAAAACTTCTTCTCGCTGAAATAATAGTTTCTACGACCAAAAATTTGGTCGCTATTTGTTACTTTCGCGACCAAAACTTTTGGTCGGCAATAGATGTATTTTTTGCGACCAAAACTCTTGGTCGGCAATTGTCATTTTACGAAAAAAAATTATTTATTTGTCGCGACTAATAAATTGGTCGCCAAAAGCAAGAAAAACAATACACCTGTAATTCCTAATAATTCATTTCAATCCATAATAAACCTATAATTTTAAAGCATCATACAAATCAACTGAATCATTAACATTCGACACAATACATAATTCATTAACATTCGACACAATCCAACATTCAATCCAATTTTTTTTTTTGACAATCAATTTTTGTTTATAAACATTCAATCCAATATTGAACAAAATTCATTCAACCAACCTAAATATAACATTAAAATTCATCATATTTTCCTGCTCAATCCCAAACTTTACAACATTCCATTCAAACATTAATTGAGACAAGTTTTAAACATCCATCCATTGAAACCAGTAAGTAATTGAACAAAAATTAAAAGGAAAATCAATGAAGGAATCCAAAAAAATTCTACAACAGGAAGGAATATATATGGTTTTGAAGCATCAGCCTTGTGCTTGATCGTTTTTGGAAGTCACCTACAAATAAATAGAAAAGTTAGAATCTAGAAACATATCCAAAATGAAGTATTCTCATAAAAAAAATTAACCATATGGCAAAAAATTTATATAATTACATTACAAACATTTGATGATGACTATACCACAATTAATATCCTCCATTCAAATCTAAACTAGAGGCAATTCAGATCCTATATATAAATAAATGCACAACATGACCCTTCACCATATTGTTCCCTTAATGCTATGGACACTGAACATTGATTTTTGTTTGGTGAGATAAACCAACATTACACACAACTTAAAACATATCATCAACTTTACTATTATAAACCTCCAACAAAGATATAACACCTAGAAAAGTAGGAAAAAATAAGTGGGAATAAAAAGAAAGCTAAAGCTGAAATGAACAAATTTGAATCATCACAGTTAATTAGGTTGATTGCCTTCAAATTCAGAAACACATTGAAAACATAATGAGAAACATATATAGTTTTCAAGATCATGTTTCTCATTATGTTTTCAATGTGTTTCTTGTCAACAATATAATGTTTACTACCACCTAATTAACTGTGATGATTCGTTACTCTTCTTCATTTTACGTTACTCTGTCCTTTTAGTTCCTTCTCAAACAATATAATTGCATATTTACCAACAAAAAACAAGCCCTAATATGTTACTCTGTCCTTTTAGTTCCTTCTCAACAATTAGGATTGCTGACTTTTGTCCTTTTTTATATGTTGTGTGTGCATGCAGTGGGGAAGAGTGTATTTTAAAATTAATAATAAAAAGCAAAGTTACTATTGAATTAACAAGAATCCAAATATTGACCCTGAGCACAGAACAAAAAGAAAGTTGGTTGGACAATCATATTTATGCCATGTATATGTGGATTTGTTCTATCATACAATTTTTTTCTATTAAAAATATACTATCACATGCACATCTGCAGGTCCTATAAAAATGTCAACCTAAAAAAGATTTTGCCATCAAATATAGTCACAAAAGCACACTTATCCATTGACTTACAGAAATTGATGAAGCAAATTTTAGTGTTAAATGCACCATCTCGCTACTGCATATTAGCAGATTTCCTAGTTTACCATGCACCACAATATCCTTACTTGAAGTATTGACCAATAAACATTGGTTACTATTGTTTTTACCATCAGTTCAATTTAGATTGTCACAGATTTGATATTGAGAGAAATATCTCAACAAGTTGTGCGATACCAAAGCAGGCCAGATGACAACAAATCATGCTCCATATCATTTACAAATAAATTTTGATATGGAGAAGCTTAGATGACAAAATTATACTGCTCATGTCCATGGACCAATCAATTGATGTAATAAAACAAAAACTACTCTCATTCCACGCCATGGTAAAAGATAATGAAAATGATAAAATGAAAGTTGTTAATATTATTGACTTCATCAAACTTGATACTATAGGCAAAATGTGTCAATAAAATAATAGTTTATTCCCCCCATCAAAAATAACTGCACAAATCCAAGTACTTGGAATTTTTCCCAATAAATTATGAAATGGAGCCAGTAGTTATAATATTCTAAGATTCCATTCAGCATCAGGGTTAATGTATGTAACTAGTAGATAAACTACAAGGAGGTAGACCAGACCATAGTAAAAGATAATGCACATGATAAAATGGAAATAAGTTTGTCAAACTAAAATTTCTGGGAAACCTGTTCATAGCCACCAAGTCTGATGACTGCTCTCCATAACCTAACTCACATATACAAGAAACATAGTGCAAATCAGGAAGCACCCAAAAAATTAAAGCAAGCAAATTTGACAATTAGGGTCACTCATAACTCACTTGAGGCAATTTAATGGCTCTCCATAAAATCTTGGGGGTTTGAATTCCAAGCACCTCTCTTTGTGGAAAGTTTCCAGCTCCTTCATTGAATGCTACTTGCTCTTCCTATGTTCCGGCCTCATCGCCCCATTAGCATTTGTTTCAAGAATGACTTGTTTGAGGTCTTGTATGATAATCCCTGCAACAAACAAGCTATACTGCTGGTTACCAGTATCATGAGAGGGAATCCTTTCCATATAAATCTTTTGTTCCTATTGGGATGTTTTGTAGAGGGCAAAGAAAATGAAAGAGAAATGAGAAATAAAGTAGAAGTTAATTTATTTTTTCTTTTAGGGAAGTGCCATAAGTTTTCCTCCTGTTGTTGCCAAAACTGGAACATGTAATTTTAAAATGCTTAGATAGTTAGAGTTGCCTTGGTGAAGAAAAAAATACTTACAAATACTTCAATGATTTGAGACCAAACAGAGCAGGAGCTATTCCCAGTCAAATCACTAGAGGAAAGGTTACACATTGATTCTCGTCCAAACCAAATGGTTCATTGCACTATGAACATAAACACTTCATGCACGACTGATGATAGAGGCGTGAGGTTATGTTCAAAGCATAATTTAAATTCAATGTTCATTATGGCTTCACACATCAATTATACACTTTTTAGCAGCAAAAGTAGGTAACCTTTCCACAAGTTTTTGTGCACATGAGAGCATATATTTAGTCACACATAGTTGCTATGCCAGTCAAGTGGTGTGTCTTCCAATATCCTCAATTGAGATGTTCAGGTTCATCTTGCTTCTACATGATCTCATTCTATATTTCAAACTCACATAAAATCAGCTCAAAACATTATACAACATATGCTGTCGAACTCTTTTCAAGTGACTGGAGTCCATGAGAATTACTCTATCAGACTATCATCCAGATTGATTCCATAGCCCAGCTTTTGAAGCAAACACTACTGCTCATTTCAACCAACATGATCAAAAACTATAGCAAACTGCCAATTTTTCTTCACCTGATACGTCAATGAGATATTCACCATAGCATCAAACTAATATTTTACAAGGTAAAAGAGAATGATATGAAACAAGTTAAGCCGAGTAGAGGAGAATGAAACAAGAGCAGATGAAAAGCAGTATAGATGAGAAAAACTAACATGGTGTTTGTGCAAATTAATTTCAAACGAGTGTTGATTTGTAAAAATTAAGACCCGACATGGAGAAGTTATTACAAGCAATAAAATTCTACAAAACTAAGAAACCTGTAGTCATTATTGCTCAGGGAGTCAATTGGGAAAAATGTATCGATCTGCACCGAAATACAAATCTCGAACAAGAATCGAAATTCAAAACATGGAACACATACAGTAATAAATTACGAATCGAACCCAGATCTGAAAAGTTTTCTTCCGAATGTTCACTTGAATAAACACATCGGATACAAAAATTATTCAATTACGAAGAAATTAAACAAATGAGAGCGATGCGAATAAAAATTGAATCAATTAACAAAAAAATTCAACAGAACAATTGAATCAATGAAGTAACCTTCAGATCAGCAAACGAAGCAGAGACATTCGGGATCTGTAAATTGTGGATCTTAGATCTGCTAATAGAAGTTGTGTGTATGTGTGTATGTAATTTCGAAACACACACACACACACACACACAGAGGGAGAGAGAACGTGCTGCTTGTGAAGGACTAACAGACTGATAGCGCGAGACAGAGAGGGAGAGAGAACCTGTGATCTGCGGCGGTGGCGGTGGCGGTGGCGTGGCGGTGGTGATTTGCGGCTGGCGGTGGCGATGTGCGATGTACGGTGAGCGACTGTGGTTGAGGGACTGTGCTGAGATGAGGTGGGGTGAGGTTTGGTGGTGATGTGTGAGAGAGAGGACTTTTGTGTTTGTTCAAAACGAGAATGGAAGAGGGCGCGAATATTAAAAGTAATTTCCCCCGCAAAGTTTAGACCAATTTAGCGACTAAATTGGTTATTAATTTTAAAATATTCACTAAATTGTATTTATTAATTTTTTAGCGACTAAATTGTATTTATTAATTTTTAAAAATATTTTTTACATATTTTTACTTTTTAGATACATTAAGTAAGATAGATCTAAAAAAGTAAAAAAAAAATACTTACAATTTTTAAAATATTCACTTAAAAAAAACCCGAAACAAAATATTCAGTGGCGATAGTAGAGGAGAGATAATAGTAGTAGTGGTGGTGGTAGTTAGTGGAGTGGTAACGATGGTGGTAGGAATGGTAGTCGTAGAGGTAGAGTGGGCAACAATGGTAATAATGCTGGTAGTGAGAATGACATTTGCAGTAGTAGTGAATGTGGTAGAGGAGATGGGTGGTGAAAGAGAGATGAGTGAGAGACGACAGAGAAGAGAGATAAAGAGAGAGAGACAGATAGAGAGAGAGATAAGGTGATGAGAGAGAGAGAGAGAGACAAAATGGTCGCTAAAAGTGCATTTTCTTGTAGTGGAGAGCTCGGTAAATAGAAAAAGAGGAGGGAGAGAGTGGGCAAAATGAACACAATGGGGGAGAGAGACAGACAGACACACAGAGAGAAATAAAGAGAGAAGGGTGATGAGTGAGAGAGAGACAGACAGACACACAAAAAGAAAGAGAGAGAGAAGAGTAATGAGTGAGAGAGAGAAAGATATATATATATAGAGGGAGAGAGAAAAAAGAGATAGAGAGACAGACAGACAAGACAGAGAGGATGAGTGAGTGAGTGAGAGAGAGAGAGAGAAGAGTGAGAGACAGACATAGAAGGGAGAAAGTGAGAAGAAGAGTGATGAGTGAGAGAGAGACAGAGAGAGAAGATAGAGACATAGACAGAAAGAAATAAGGATGAGTTAGAGATAGACAAAGAGAGAGAGAAAGAGAGTGAAAAGAGATGATCGAGAGAAAGACATAGAAAAAGAGAGAGAGATAGAAAGAGAAGAAAGATAAGCATGAGAGACAGAGAGAGAGAGAGAGAAGATAGACGAGTGAGAGAGATAGAGAAAGAAAAAGATGAGAGGGATAAAGAGAAGAGAGATGAGCGAGAGAACAAGAGAAAAAGAGACAGAGAAAAGACAGACAGACAGAGAAGAATGATGAGGAGAGAGAGAAAAGAGAGAGAGAGAGAAAAAGAGAGAGACAAAGAGAAAAAGAGATAGAGAGTGAGAGACAAAAAAAGAGATAGAGAGAGGAAGAGAGAGAGAGAGAAATAGGCAAAGAGAGAAAGAGACAGAAAAGAGATAGAGAGATGAGAGATGAATGAGAGAAAAGAGAGATGCAAGAGAGAGACAGAGAAGAGAGATAGAGAGAAGAGATATGAGCGAGAGAGACAGAGAGAGAAGAGAGAAAATAGATGAACGAGAGAGACAAAGAGAGAAGAGAGATGAGACAGAGATGCGAGAGAGCTCAAGAATAAAGATGAACAAGATAGTTAAAGAGGAAGAGAGATGAACGAAAGAGACAGAGAGAGAAGAGAGATAGAGAGAGAGAAGAGAGAGAAGACAAAGAGAAAAAGAGATAGAGAGTGAGAGACAAAAAAGAGATAGAGAGAGAAGAGAGAGAGAGAGATAGACAAAGAGAGAAAAGACAGAAAAAGAGACAGAGAGAGATGAGAGATGAATAAGAGAAATAGAGAGATAAACGAGAGAGACAGAGAGAGAGATAGAGAGAAGAGATATGAGCGAGAGAGACAGAGAGAGAGATAGAGAGAAAAGAGATGAACGAGAGAGACAAGAGAGAAGAGAGATGAGACAGAGATGCGAGAGAGCTCAAGAATAAGATGAACAAGATAGATAGAGAAGAGAGAGAACGAAAGAGACAGAGAGAGAAGAGAGATAGAGAGAGAGAAAGAGACAAAGACAGAGGCAGAGACAGAGTAGGAAAGAGAAAGAGACAGAGAGAAACAAGAGATGAATAAGAGATAAACAAAGAGAGAGAAAGAGAGCGAAAAGAGATGATCGAGAGAAATACATAGAAAAAGAAAGAGGTAAAGAGAGAAGAAAGATGAGTAAGAAGACAGAGAGTGAGATAGAAAGAAGATAGATGAATAAGAGAGATAGAGAAAGAAAAAATATGAGAGAGATAGAGCGAAGAGAAATGAGCGAAAGACAAAGAGAAAAAGAGACAAAGACAGACAGATAGAGAAGAGTGATGAGTGAGAGAGAGAAAGAAGAGAGACAAGAGAGCAAAAGAAGACTAGAGAGTGAGAGTCAGAAAAAGAGACAGAGAGAGAAGAGAGATGAACGAGATAGACAGAGAGAGAGATAGAATAAGAGAGATGAGCGAGAGAGACATAGAGAGAAGAGAGAGAACGAGAGAGACAGAGAGAGAGAGATAAAAATAAGAGAGAGATGAACAATAGAGACAGAGAGAAAGAGAGATGAAGAGAGTGAGAGAAGAGAGATGAGCAAGAGAGATAGAGACAACAAGAGATGAACGAAAGAGACAGAGAGAGATAGAGAAATGAGAGAAGAGATAAATGAGTGAGAGACACAGAGAAAGAGACAGACAAATAGACAGATAGACAAACAGACAGAGAGAGAAAAGTGATGAGTAAGAGAGAGAAAGAGAATAGAGAGAGGAAGATAAAAAAATAGGTGAAAAGAGACAGACAAAGAGAGAGAGAGAAAAGATAAACAAGAGAGATACAGGGAGAGATAAAGAGAAGAGAGACAAAGAGAAACGAGAGATGAGAAAGATAGAGAAAAGAGAGATGAGCGAGAGACACAGAGAGAGAGATAGAGAAGAGTGATGAGAGAGAGAGAGAGAAAGAGAAGAGAGACAGAATAGAGACACAAGAGAAAAAGAGAGACAGATAGATAGAAAGAGAGAAAGAGTGATGAGTGAAAGTAAATTTTTATTTTTCTTTCAGCGACGAAAAATATTTTAGTTGCCAAAACATATATACCGCGACCAAACTAATTTTTAGTCGCTGAAATTAAGGTTTTGCCGACCAAACTTTTGGTCGCGAAAGATAAAAAATAATTTTTTATTTTTCTTTCAGCGACTAAATATTTTAGTTGCCAAAACTATATATACCGGACCAAACTAATTTTTAGTCGCTGAAATTAAGGTTT